ATATATATATATATATATATATATATATATATATATATATATATATACTGTATATATGTATGTATCTGTATATATCTGTATTTGGTTATTTCTGTATATATGTTTTTAGATATGTATATAGATGTGTACATGTGTATATATGTTTATATGAATATGTTTATGTACTGTATGTATGTATATATATATATAGGTGTTTGTATCTGTCTATATATGTGTATGTCTATGTACATATGTGTATATATGTATATATATATACAGTATATATATACACAGACCGTTTTAAACAATGATTTCAAAAGCCTAGCTGCTCCGCATGGTGCTATACTGTATATAAACCAGAGATGATTTCATTTTGTCCTTGTAATTGCAGAAATATTTCAAATAGATGCAAATTTTACGGCGACACATAAAGATTTCGGCCGTTAACTCACGAGGTCTTGAAGGATTTGATCGCCAATCCTCACAGATCTTCTGACAGGGTTTAAAGTATCTGATGCCAGAGCTGTTCCCCCTCTTGTGGCAGGCGTCTGCGCTGCACCCGGCAGAGGATGCAACTGGTATTCATGGCAGCGGTGCTGGCGCTGGCTGGGGCGGGGGTGGGGCAGAGCTGCAGCTCCAGCTGTCATCTGACCAACCGCCGCATCTCCGTGGAGAGCTGTGGCAGAACCGAGTCCATCCTCACCACCATGTGTGAAGGGCAGTGTTTCCGAAAGGTATGTCAATCTTCAAATACCCTGTGTTTAAGTTCCTTTTGTGTCGTCACCAATCACATACTCGTGGAATTTGTTGCGCTTAAACATTTACTGTCGTGACAGGACCCGGTCTACATCAGCCTTGCACACCCGACTGAGCAGGAAACGTGTAACGGGGACTGGTCCTATGAGGTGGTACACATTGACGGATGTCCGGAGGGTGTCACTTACCCTGTGGCCAGAAACTGCGAGTGCACCGCGTGTAACCGAGATGAAAACACGTACTGCGGGACTTTCCCCGGAGACGTGTCCAGCTGTCTGTCCTCTTAAAAGAAACCCATCGTCTGTCCTACATCTGCTTATCGTCTGTCGGACTTGGCGCTGAAATAAACAGGTGTCACTTTTCGGGGGGGTTTTTTTGTCTTCTTTTCACACGTTGCATTATGTTTTAACTGTGTCCTTTTTTATATCTCAGCTGTCTTCAATCAAAATCCCACATTTCAATCTGCTCCGCTCTGTAGCTGTTAACACCTCGAACAGTTTGCCAACACGGATGAAATGTCACGAGTCAGTGCAGAAGAAAATTGTCTGTAGATGAAGCAGCGAGATAGCGGAGTGCCTTTAAAGTCATAAAGGCCGATTGAGAGATTAAATGTCCCACCGACTGTTTCTCTTCTCTGTCCTCACCACTGACCCCTGAAATTCAACAGTCCTGCGGTCCAAGTTTTCATGCTGAGGATGGGAGTTTGTCCGATAAGAAAAAGAGCAGGCCTCACCTCTTTTTTTGACAGGTGGAAATGAAAATAAAGAGTTTGCAGTGTTTCCAAAAGCTCCACTAAAGGGCCTGCTGATCAGTGGCTCTCTTCATAAGGCGACACTAAATTTAGAAACAGCTTAGCATGCTAAATCTTAGCCATTACTGCAACAGGCCCTTATGTGTGATGCTGCTGCCACTTTAGTTTTTTTGAGTTTGACATTTTGCGAAATATGTTTATTCGATTTGTAGCCTAATGTTGGATGAGAGGATCTATGCCACTCTTGTGTCCAGTAAAGGCGAAGAACACAAGATTGGGAGCATTTCCATTGCCTCTCAACAGGTCTCAACATGGCGGCTTGTAGCTAACGGTGCTAACGTCGCAAACAGTGCAAACACTCTCACACCTCACTCTCAGGTAGACATTACTCCACTATAACTTTAGACAATAGTTGTTTGCTGCTATATTAATGCTCTGAATCCCTTATATTGCACCTTTAATAGCTACTGTCAGGTAATTGCTAGCTTAGCTTAGCATAAAGGCTTGAAACGGAGAAACAGCTGTAGTTTAGCACATAACCCCCTTACTCTTTGGTTTTTCTACACATTAAACAAACAAGATATAACATGTTTCTAAGTGAGCTTCAGAGGTACTGGTGGTTTAAAAAACGTTTTAATCTGTTAGCCTTTTAGTCATGCTAGCTGTTTGCACCCGTTTCCAGTCATTATGCTAAGCTAAGCTAATAACCTCCGAGCTGTAGGTTCACATTTAGGCAGATATGAGATTAGTATCAGCCAACAAGCGTATTTCCCAGAATTTCTTTAATACCCGTGTACTGTATTAAGTGTCTTTACACACCATATTATCTCCATACTAACAATTTTCCAGATATTTGCTGTTCGTCCCTCATTAGCAGTTCTTCCAACACACTGTCTGGTTGTCCCTGTGATACAGGTTAATGTTTAAGTTGCCTCAAACAACAGGACCTACTAGCAGCCTTTATTGTGTGCTTTGGCTTGAAGAAGTCTTAATACGAGCACTCAACAATGATATTAAATATTCTTTCACTTTGGACAAAAGTCAAACCCCAGCAGTAAAACCAGCGCATGCTTTTGTTCTGCAGCAATGCTCCTTTTTTAAACTTGAGGAGTTTTCCATTAAAAATTCAGGAAACTAGAATCCAAAAAGGCAGAACTGATGAACATCTTTGCAGAGAAATGAGAAGAATGGTATGTCCGCTCTCTAACCCTGAAGCCCGCCGCAGACAGTAATACTTTCTATGATACAGTTTAGAAACGACTTGTTTTTAGCCAAAAGCGGGAGCAGCTTCTGAGTCCGCGGCTTGTTAGAGTAACATCGTATTAATCCAGAGACATGGACAAACCTGAGGCCCCTGCTGATGACGGAGAACTCGCTCATTGACATGAAAAGCTGCTAATTACCTACAGTGTTGTGACTTGGCAAGTTACCAGTTTTATCCTAACGTGATCTGCTTCAGTGTGGACAGAATCTAATTCAGGTATAATGTGGTGTCGACATGAGTGGGTTGAAGGAATCTCATTGAGAAAATGATCATATGATTTACTTCAGTGTTTTGCTGTTTGCTTTAGCAAGTGGTGACGTAGAGATGCTGTATATGGCTCTGATAGCAGCAGAGACCTGTCAATCACAAGGTAGCCCAGCCCTAAAGCATCCCCTGCTTTATGGTCTGTTTGACTCTAAATGGACCATAACTTACTAAATGAACATCATGCTGTATTGAAAAAGACTTGAAACTAGAGATTGAGACCATAAACTCATGTTTACAATGTTTACTGAGGTAATAAATCAAGAGAGAAGTAGAGTCATTTTCTCATAGACTTCTATACAACCAGAGGAGTCGCCCCCTGGTGGACATTATAGAGAATGCAGGTTTAACACACTTCCTCATCGGCTTGACTCGCGGAACTGGAGATATTATGAATTTAAGTCCCTGATATGGGTCATGCTTCAAAATCTGTACCGTAGTTACTTTTACTGCTAATTTTAATAATTCAACTTTCATTAGACATCATCAGGGTTATTCTTCCAAAGTTTAGAAAGCTCCCTCCAGAACCACAGAAGACATTCTCCGATGTTTTAAGTACTCCTTATAACAAGTAAACTTAGTGTCCCTAAGATGTGGATAAATCACAGCCGTACAATGTTTAACATTTTTGCCTTGACGTCTAATCTGGAGTGATTTTGAATGTGTGCAACTGGAGAGAAACTCGTATTTAAAGGGTGTCGATATTTCAGCCTGCCAGAAGATCAAGGGTCAAAGCCAAAGCGCTCTAACAAGTGAGCCAATCAATGGAATGATTAATGATAGAACATAAGGGAACAGAGTGATCAATGGCAGCAAGAGGCTGTAAAAGAAACAAGATGTGAGTAGATTACCGAGTATTTTCTGTACTTTAAGACAGCAGCGTACTGAGGCAAGTTCAGAAAATAAATGGATGCGAGAGAGGGAGCGGAAATATTTCTAAGACAGGCCAAGTTTTCAGATTGTTGTTTTGGAGGAGAAGCAGTTTGAGACTCGATGTAGCGATGAGCGACCCTGCAGGCGGAGCTGACCTAAGCCGCTTGTAAGAGGAGTACAAACTGGCATGTAGAGATGGACTGTGGCCCCAGGGTGTTGCTTTCTTAGTATTTGCTATATCACTTTTTTATTTTTCACAAACATCCTGAGGTACACATCCAGCATGAGGGAGTGCAGGATAGATGAAGCAGTACAGTTCCTCTCCAGAAACACTGGCAAATAATCAGCATGAGAAGAGCAGAAAACCTCCACCAGAGCCGAACGATTCCCCCAAAGACATCATTTCTATCACTTACAGCTTTGAAATTGAATTAATCGATTCCCAAACGCTGGAGCTATGAAGCTGGACATCGATCTCTGTGATCTCTGTTAGTTTCATAGTCACGGCTAGAAAAAGACGACAGGAGTCTCTCTTCTTAATCAACGCCAAGCTCTTTGACAGTAATGACCAGTGACTGTGAAGAACATCTGACGTGTGAAAACGTAAACTTTTAGTGCTAAATAGACAAAAACAGGACAATAAATTGTTTTTTACGGCTGGAGGTAATAATTGTTTTTATTGTTTATTATTTGTTTGATTAAATAGTTTTTATCTAATTAAAAAACAAAAGTAAAGAAGACATTTTTTAAATGCTTTTTAGAAGTTCTCACAACCTAAAGTGAGATTTAAAGTGATGTCTTGTATAAACTTACCTTTACTAAGATTTAATATTGTACCCACATATCCATACTTCTCATATATGATCCTTATCATTTAACCTGTTTATATTTTGGACATTGGGTATATTTTGGATTTGCTCCTAACCATTCACCGGTTAGGAGCCTCTAAACTCGTCACAGACTCTTCTGTCACATCTCCGCTTCGCTGTGAACACTGCAGGCTGGATATCCGCTGACAGATTTCAGTGCGTTCGGGTCATTGGTGTCGTCTAATAGCAGATTGGTTCTTTTTTTATCCGGCCGCTCCCCGGAGGTTCGTGCTCTCTCCTCACTAATGACTGCCACAGCCAATATTTAGATAGACATTTTATCAAGTTTATAGACGAGAGTGTCGCTCTGCTGGAGGGAGGAAATGGACACAGTCATGCAGGTGGCTCTGTGTCTGGCTATGATGAACTCTTCCTTGAGTTGAATTTCATAAAAACTAAGAACATAGATTTTTTTTGGAGCTTATATACTAAACATTCCTGACCGGCTGTTAACGTCACACAGGGCTCTAAATGAGCACATGAATATATGTGCATGTGTTTCTGTCTGCTTTTTGTTTTTTTGGTTCGGCAGCTTGAATTTAATGAATGTGTGCTTAAAGCCAGTGAGCTGAAATGTCGAGCAACTGAAACTTCTCGACGTGTAGGTGAGCTGCATTGGTCGACCGTAGATTGTTTACGAGAAGTGGATGTCGTCACTGTGACGTCAAACATCGTGACGTTTTGGGACTACCATCTTGAAGCCTTGTGTTTGGCATTTTGGCCGTCGCCAATCTTGGTTTTTGGTTGTCACCGTCTTGGCTATTTGCAAGATGAATAAGACATTTTCAGGCAACCAAAATGTTACAATTATCTTTCATGAACTGAAAACACACCGTGAAAGGGTTAAAGTTGCAAGACGAAAACACGGACAACTCCGTGACCGGACAACGCCTTGGTAGCAACCTGTCAAGACTTGACTTGAAACTAGAGATTGAGACCATAAACTCATGTTTACAATGTTTACTGAGGTAATAAATCAAGAGAGAAGTAGAGTCATTTTCTCATAGACTTCTATACAACCAGAGGAGTCGCCCCCTGGTGGTCAGTAGAGAGAATGCAGCTTTAAGCTACTTCAGCATTGGCTTCACTTTTCCGACCTTTCTGACACGGAAAAAGCAAACGTCTCTCTCTAGAGCCAGTGTTTGGTTTGTCCGTTCTGGGCTACTGTAGAAACATGACGGCCAGCTCTGTTAAGAGACAGAGTCTGTATATAAATCCAAACGGCTCATTCTATGGTGACAAAAACAGACCGATTTTTAAATTCAGGTGATTATCCACTAAAGAAAACATACTGAGAATTATTATTAATTCCACGGTATTGCTTTAAGAACCAGAGCTGCAGCCCTCCACTCAAGCAACCTGTCATTTATTCATTGCTTTGTGTTCGCAAATGTAATTATGTGGCTTTTTAACAAGACTAAGAATCTGCCGCCATGCTAGCAGCTCTGAGGCTTAACTTTGGCACAGCGGTGCTTTAACATGTGCACATTGACTATTCTATCATGACTATCATACAACTTTAGTCACATACTTTAGTGGACGAGGTAATATTTGGGCCTGATGGTGGCGCTCTATAGAAAGCTACAATCCAGCCTATGGGGAACATATATTGGGTATTCTTCATGACATTCCGTCCAATAGTTGTTGAGATATTTCAGTGTGGACCGAAGTGATTGACTGACCGAACCAGAACATAATATATTCACTGTTTAAAGTCAACTGCTTCATGAGCAAAATGTCCTGATGTTGCTGCTGCTTAATATTCCCACCAGCAGCCAGTATATGAGAGAGAGTGGGCGTCATTTAAATCCTGATATCTGGAGCATCTCCTGCTCACAGAGCTGAGAATAAATACTTGAACTTGAACTTAGATCGGAGTTTGGAACAAAAATTCGGCTGCTGTGATGAATGACTTGTTGGCATCGACTCGCTCTCATCGACTTGGTTTTTATAAATATTAATAAGCTTCATTTGTATGTGGCTCCTTTTAAAATGAGCTATGAAACGCATTATGAAGACTTTACTGGATAAGAAAACATAGCAACCAGAACAGCACTCCCTAAAGTTACTGAAACATGTTTGTGATTGCTACGGTAAACTGACTGCACACCACATTACATGCCCTTTCTCCCCACAGTTCAGATTTGGCAGGACCATGCTCGTCAGACACTGGACCTGAGCTCAAGGACAGCAGGGTGTGTATAAATGAGATCTGCAACTCTTTCTTTAGCCAGCGTGATGAACTGCTGTGTCATGCTGCTTGTCTATTTCCTTTGGTCAGTGTGTGTGTGTGGTGGTGGGGGGAGTAAGGTCCACTTGTGTGTCCAGTCTGTGATAAACGGGGGAAAAAAAGACCCTAATGGAAATAAAAACGAATGACATTTTAAAAGGACGACTCTACCGTCGCTGTAATTAAAAGGCCTCTCTAGTGTCGCTTTAGTACAACGCACATGATGGAATGAAGGGTGTTGCTGTCATTTAGGAGGGATTACCTTCCCCGACACCACCGTCTATACGACCCAACACCTCACTAAAGGACACTTTAATTCCTCCCGATTCATTCTGTTGATTTAACTCAGCAGCTCCTGAAGTTGGAACTGGTCGTGCTTAGCCTTCAACCCTCAGATCTTGCTGAGCTTTTATTCTTTTTAAGTGCCAAAACCATTACAAAAAACAACTATGGCTTCTTCTGCAGTTATCTTTAAGCGTTTTTCTTTCTTCCAGATTAACAGTTGTGACTGTGATGAGCAGACCCCGAAGAGGTTTGGAGATATAGCAAGAATGGGGATTTGGGGAAAGGGTTGAAAACCCGGGGACAGTTTCTTTCCTCCACATTGTTATGATACTCTGCTCAGAACTACATTTAGATTGAATTAATCTCGTTAACCAACCATGGGCCTAATGGGAAACCATAGCCTTCAAAATACAATCCTACAGAATTGATGTAATCAGATGTTCAATATATTCGAGCTATTTTGTTCCTTCCTCATCTAGTTGTACATTAACTACCGATTCCCTACTTATGGAATAATCCGAAAATATTAAAGTATCTCTCTATGTAATGGGCTCCCTACTGCGCCCCCTATGGTCAGCTGCGGTAATGGACGGACCAGCACATCCAAGGATTCGATACATTTTTCAGTTTTATTGAATATGAACAAAAACAACCTCCTCCGCAGATGTTTAATGCAGACACTAAACATAAGACACTAAACTTAAGACACAAAACATTTTTTTAACTGGAGAAAAATATATATATATAAAAAAAAACTTTAACAGGAAGTTTCACAAGAGCACATCCAACATTCAGCAGAATAGCTTTCTACCACAGGCAGTGTCTGTCTTTGTAAATCCTGATAAATAGCAGTGACCATCGTGGGAGATTCTTTTGAATGAAGTTTACTAAACAGCAAACTTGTTCCGGATGATCTCTCCGCCCTCCACCTCCACCTGCTCGTAGAGCCACTTCCTGTCGCAGCGGCACTCCACCCCGCACTTGCGCGAGCCGCAGTCGGGGCAGGGGTAGAAGCAGCCCATGCAGTCCACGTCCAGACAGTCACACATGTCCTTGTTGTTGGAGAGCAGCCGGCCTTTGTTGTCGTACACTCTGCTCTTGGCCCCGACGGTCTGTCTGCGGGCACGAGAACAAACACCGACATTACTTTTGAGTTTTATTTAAAGCCGCCGACGACGGTTAATATCACTCACTGAGGGATGGAAACCTGGGGACAGTTTCGGTTTTTCACATCATTATGAAACAATCCTCAAATTCAGAATTCATGAAGCTCATGAAGCAACCCAGGGCCTAGAGGAAAACCACACCGTCTGAAAGCTCAGGTTAGGAAGTTATTCCAGCTGTTTTGTCAGAAAGTGGAGTGCCGACGTCATCATCTAGTCCTACATTAACTAATGAGTCCCTACGTATTATGAGTCCCAGAATTCAGCTCAGAATTCGGCTCAGAATTCAAACCTTTGGGAGACAACAGAGGCCACCTGTACCGTTGAACTCGACAGGTCGTTTAAACGTCTTCTCTACTGCGCCCCTAAGGCCAGATGTAGAAAGAAGTAGAAACAACAACATCTTGACATATGTCACCAATTTTGGGAAAACTTTTGTTTCTTAAAACGTACCAATCGATCATTACCTGCTGCTGGAAACACAATGTGTTTGACAGATTGCTATTCTTTAGGAGACAACACGCTAGCTGAGATAGTTGCACGTGGAAGCTGAGCATTAAGTTGTATGTGGGCTAAGAGATAGACGACTCTCTCTATTCTGGTGAGTGACGTCAACAGGCTTTTTAAAAAACAGAACCCCCGCGAAGCAGCCGGCCCAGACTCAGTCTCCCCCTCCACCCTGAAGCATTGTGCTGATCAGCTGTCTCCGGTGTTCACAGACATCTTCAACACCTCCCTGGAGACATGCCACGTATCGGCCTGCTTCAAGCACGCAGCACGTGAAGCTGGGAAAGCACGTCTCAGCCTCTCGGACCATCGGCACCGGTCCCCCCCCCCAAGGTTGCGTTCTTTCCCCTCTGCTCTTCTCCCTGTACACCAACAGCTGCACCTCCAGTCACTAGTCCGTCAAGCTCCTGGAGTTTGCGGATGACACCACCCTCATTGGACTCATCTCTGGTGGAGATGAGGTCAGCCTCAAGGACCCTGAAGCGAGCAAGAAAGATTGTAGGCGACCCCTCTCACCCTGGACATGAACTGTTCGTGCCCCTTCCATCTGGTGGGAGGCTGCGGTCCATCAGGACCAAGACCTCACGCCACACGAACAGTTTCTTAACAAAGCCCGGGACCCCCACTGACTCTGTCATCCCCAGGACAATTTCCTACTGGTCACTCCCCTGCACATCCCTATGTTTCTCTATTCAAACACACTCGACACTTTTAACATTTCACTTGTTTACAGTCCTGTTTGTTGTGCACTTTATTTTATATTCTATTGTAAATTTTAATATGTTTCTATTTCTTGCATTGTTGTTTAATGTTGTTATGCACCACCCGCCATAAGAAATTCCTTGTAGGTGCAAACTTCGTTGGCAATAAACGGTTCTGATTCCGTTTTATTCTGTTTCTTTAAACTGCCAGAAATTAGAGAATAGTAGAGAAATGTATAAATCTCAAATGATTTTTTTCTGTTTCACAAGAAGGTGGAGTGACGGCCACATTACAAAAGAAGAAGCACATTTACCGCTTTGGCTCAACAATCATTCTCACAAACCGAACTAGGACAAGGACACACATTCACTGAAGAGCAGAAAACTGTCAAGAAATGCTGCTCCCATACAATTCAGCAGAGCTACAGAGAGAATATATATATATACACACACACCTGTCCATCAGCTGTTTACCTCCGCGGCCTCCTCGTCCACCCTGTGACAGAACAAACAAAGTACATTTTATAGCCAACAATCATCCCAACAATAGTTTTCTACATCGTTAATCACAAGAAGAAAAAATGCATTTGCTCACGAGACCTTTGCATACACATACTAAAGAGTATCTCTCTGCAACCACAAGGTCTATTTGAATAATTTTGGTGTTATAATAAAGGGAACACTTGTGAGATTTCAGTTCAGATGTGTAAAAAAAATAATCTCTTTTAAACGATGCAGCTGCAGGTCTAAACCTCTCCCAAATCACAGCACAATATGTGAACAGTCTCTCTGCAAAGTTTGACTTTGATAAAGTGAAGCAGAACAAAATTAGAGCAGTTTTAGTACAGAGAGGTCAGGCGAGGTTTCCAAAATGGGCATTTGGGCATCATGTGTGCCATTTGAATTTTCTCATGGACCAAACTATATATATTTCACTTGTATATTACTAATGGTGTTCAATACATCCAAATACATATTTTCCCCATTCAAAAAACAACCACACAAACCAACTGAATGTTTCATCCAAATGGAAGAGATTTAATTTGAGCAAACTGTAAACATTTGTAACAATACAAACTGTAAAAACAAAAAGGTAAAACCAACAAACTATTTACATCATTTAGGTCTTGTGGCTGAAGGCCTTTGTCTGGGTGGGGTCCATCAGGAAGTTATTGTCCATCAGCTGGAAGCAGTTCTTTTTGGAGGTGAGGCTGAGAGGAACCTTACACTTCCTGCAACAAGTGGATGTCTTCACCCTCAGCATTCCAACATCGTGGCACCGCTTGCAATACTTCCTGACCCTTGTTTCCTCACTGTCGAAAAACATGGGCATGCAAGTGGTGGAGGGGGAGGTGGTAGGTGAGGGGGGGCGGGGGCTGAGCCTTCAGCAAACTCCAGCATCAGTCGGTCGTACTCGGCAGTGTTCCTTTTTTTGTCGTTTTCCTCGTCCTCTTATGGGTCACTGAGGTAAAGTGACCACATGACACGGGACCGCTTTGAGTCCATTTTGTGGTCACTTCACCTCAGTGACCTAAAAGAGGACGAGGAAAACGACAAAAAAAACTGGAAGTTGTACGGCCATTTCTTCCTCCAGTATCTGACCTGTGGTGGACCGTCACAAAGCCAGTGAAAAGGATGACGGCGAGGAATGTGTAGAAGTCCTTCATCGTGAGCACTTCCCAGGTGAATTTTATTGTGGACGTGTTGGCCGTGGGGCACTTGAAGGTTCTGGGACTCTGGCAAGAGGTTACTCGGAATCCTCATCACTGTAAACCCAAATGTGGAAGAAACATAAATACAGTTGTGTGAAAAAGTGTTTGCCCCCTTCCTGATTTCTTATTTGTTTGTCACACAAATTTAAATATTAGACAAAGATAACACAAGTAAACACAAAATGCAGTTTTTAAATGAAGGTTTTTATTATTAAGGGGGAAAAAAATCCAAACCCACATGGCCCTGTGTGAAAAAGTGATTGCCCCCTAAACCTAATAACTGGTTGGGCCACCCTTAGCAGCAACAACTGCAATCAAGTGTTTGCAATAACTGGCAATGAGTCTTTTCCAGCGCTGTAGAGGAATTTTGTCCCACTCATCTTTGCAGAATTGTTGTAATTCAGCCACATTGGAGGGTTTTCGAGCATGAACCGCGTTTTTAAGGTCATGCCACAGCATCTCAATCGGATCAGGTCGGGACTTTGACTAGGCCACTCCAAAGTCTTCATTTTGTTTTTCTTAAGCCATTCAGAGGTAGACTTGCTGGTGTGTTTTGGATCATTGTCCTGCTGCAGAACCCAAGTGCGCTTCAGCTTGAGGTCACGAACAGTTGGCCGGACATTCTCCTTCAGGATTTTTTGGTAGACGGCAGAATTCATGGTTCCATTTACCACAGCAAGTCTTCCAGGTCCTGAAGCAGCAAAACAGCCCCAGAACATCACACTACCATCACCATATTTTACTGTTGGTATGATGTTCCTTTTCTGAAATGCCGTGTTGCTTTTACGCCAGATGTAATGGGACATACACCTTCCAAAAAGTTCAACTTTTGTCTCGTCAGTCCACAGAGTATTTTCCCAAAAGTCTTGGGGATCATCAAGATGTTTTCTGGCAAAACTGAGACGAGCCTTTATGTTCAGCAGTGGTTTTCATCTTGGAACTCTGCCATGCAGGCCATTTTTGCCCAGTCTCTTTCTTATGGTGGAGTCATGAACACTGACCTTAATTGAGGCAAGCGAGGCCTGCAGTTCTTTGGATGTTGTTCTGGGGTCTTTTGTGACCTCTTGGATGAGTCGTCGCTGCGCTCTTGGGGTAATTTTGGTCGGCCGGCCACTCCTGGCCGGCGAAATGTTTTCGCCATTTGTGGATAATGGCTCTCACTGTGGTTTGCTGGAGTCCCAAAGCTTTAGAAATGGCTTTGTAACCTTTTCCAGACTGATAGATCTCAATTACTTTGTTTCTCATTTGTTCCCGAAATTCTTTGGATCGCAGCATGATGTCTAGCTTTTGAGGATCTTTTGGTCTACCTCACTTTGTCAGGCAGGTCCTATTTAAGTGATTTCTTGATTGAGAACAGGTGTGGCAGTAATCAGGCCTTGGTGTGGCTAGAGAAATTGAACTCAGCTTTCCAAAGATGTGATAAACCACAGTTAATTTATGTTTTAACAGGGGGGGCAATCACTTTTTCACACAGGGCCATGTAGGTTTGGATTTTTTTTTCCCCTTAATAATAAAAACCTTAATTTAAAAACTTCATTTTGTGTTTACTTGTGTTATCTTTGTCTAATATTTAAATTTGTTTGATGATCTGAAACATTTAAGTGTGACAAACATGCAAAAAAATAAGAAATCAGGAAGGGAGCAAACACTTTTTCACACAACTGTATATGCAGTCAGTGGTCTGGTTCTGAAATTGTAATACATGTAAACATAGATGCAGTGCAGTGCCCATGTATTGCTGATCTGGAGAAACTGTTTACCACATGGACACACACACACACACACACACAAAATTCGATACCAATAAATCAATAAAATCGATAAATATAACATTTATAAGACAATCCATACCTTTCCGAATATGGAATACGGTAATCCGATTCACTACTGGTGTCGTGTAGTGTAGTGTCGGGATGCACCAGATCCTCGTCATCGGACGATGAATCACTCGGACAAAGGAAGCTCCCAGGGTCGTCCTCCAGTATTCGGAGATCCTCCGGAGTCACCTTTTTCTTTGGTTCATGGTTCGTCATCTTTCTCAAAATAAATTCCTGGCGGACATCAGGTTTGATCCACTGCTCCTCCTGCTGCTCCTCCTCCTGCTGCGCCTCCTCCTCACTCTCTGTAGAAGCCAACCTACTTTTTCCACGCTTGGTAGCTGGAGCAGAAGTCCCCAGAGAGGGGCGTTCTCTCTTCCGCTGAGTGGTCGGGGGAGGTGCTGCTGGGTCCGACTGAGGTGCTAACGACTGGGTGTGTAGAGTCGTGGGGGGAGGAGATGCTGCTGGGCCTGGCTGAGGGTGTGAAAGTCCTGGAGCCAATTGTGGACGTGTTGTCTGTTGGGCACTTGAAGGTTCTGGGACTCTGGCAAGAGGTTCCTCGTAATCCTCATCACTGTAAACCCAAATGTGGAAGAAACATAAATATAGGCATTCAGTGGTCTGGTTCTGAAATTGTAATACATGTAAACATAGATGCAGTGCCCATGTATTGCTGATCTGGAGAAACTGTTCACCACATGGACACACACACACACACACACACACGCGCACACACACACACGAAGCTAGATAGATATAAAATTCGACACCAATAAATATAACATTTATAAGACAATCCATACCTTTCCGAATATGGAATACGGTAATCCGATTCACTACTGGTGTCGTGTAGTGTAGTATCGGGATGCACCAGATCCTCGTCATCTGACGATGAATCACTCGGACAAAGGGGGTTCCCAGGGTCGTCCTCCAGTATTTTCAGGACTTCCTCCGGAGTCAACTTTGTCTTTGGTTCTTGTTTCGACATCTTTCTCAAAATATATTCCTGGCGGGCATCAGGTTTGATCCACTCCTCCTCCTCACTCTCTGTAGAAGCCAACCTACATTTTCCACGCTTGGTAGCTGGAGCAGAAGTTCCCAGAGAGGAGTGTCCTCTCTTCCGCTGAGTGGTCGGGGGAGGTGCTGCTGGGTCCGACTGAGGTGCTAACGACTGGGTGTGTAGAGTCGTGGGGGGAGGAGATGCTGCTGGGCCTGGCTGAGGATGTGAAAGTCCTGGAGCCAATTGTGGACGTGTTCTCTGTTGGGCACTTGAAGGTTCTGGGACTCTGGCAAGAGGTTCCTCGTTATCCTCATCACTGTAAACCCAAATGTGGGAGAAACATAAATATATGCATTCAGTGGTCTGGTTCTGAAATTGTAATACATGTAAACATAGATGCAGTGCAGTGCCCATATTGCTGATCTGGAGAAACTGTTCACCACACGGACACACACACGGACACACACACACCAATAAATCGATAAATATAACATTTATAAGACAATCCATACCTTTCCGATGATGGAAGACGATAATCCGATTCACTACTGGTGTCGTGTGTAGTGTCGGGATGCACCAGATCCTCGTCATCAGACGATGAATCAATCGGACAAATGAGGTACACAGGGTCGTCCTCCGGAGCGGAATTTTGTTTTGGTCCTTGTTTCGACATCTTTCTCAAAATAAATTCCAACAAAGTAGTGAAAAATCAACCGTAGAAGTTAGACACACGACGCTAAAACAAGCTGATGCTGTGCGTTATAGGTCCCAGTGCGTGATGGCAATTTTCGTCTCGCAGGCTGCTTTTAAATACGCGCGACTATATCTCTGCAACGGATTGGTCGATCTGAGTGAATAACACCTCATTTGAATCGTTAGAGCCAATCAAATTTAGCTATACCGACAAAAATGAGATCAGAATCAGCCGTTCTATGGGCAGTGCAGGCTGTGACACGCGGCGATTCTAAGTATCCAGTTCAACGAGGCTGGTGAATGGTGTCGCTCTGACTGACTCCAGTGATGCATCTGACAATACTTTACTTTTAAATTCTAATAAATCACCGCAATCTGAGCAATAAATTTATATTTTACTCTGATATAATAAATCATATACCCCATATATAAAAATATTAACAAGTTACCCTTGAAAAAGTAATTAGCATAATAACTTAAAAAGTTTTACCCAATATGATGTACCTACAGTGCAGAGAACGTAACAGAAAACTCACCCTCATTCCTCCTCGTTTGTCTCTGCGCAGACTGATGGCCTCTCTCGCTTTGTCTCTGTCTGCTTGTGTCGCTACTGGATTCACCACATTCGTCTCCTTTGGTATCACCCCTCGTTTACGAAGCTCAATCTGGGGGAATATTCAGTTATAGAGTCGCTTCACATGAGATAAAACAGGATGACTGTTAGAAAGGAATAGTTTATACAACACCTTTGATGAATCCTGCCCCTGGCTGAAAATGGTGGGCACCGCATCCTCCCGCAGAAACTGTTTGCCGTTGTAGTCCCTGAAGCAATCGGCCCTGAAGTGCTCCGAGCAGAGGCATGTGTTGGCGGTCGGGTTGAAGTTCTTCATCCCCAGGCTGTTTACCCATTTGCCGGCGAGCTGAGGTTTGCTGAGGGGGAACCTTACGCACAGAAGAGAGGAGACGGTTTCTAACCAGGATGCATGATTACGATCACACTTTTTAACACAACAGTGAACAGCCTGATGGGAAACCAAAGAAGATGAAAACCAACACATATTAAACGCTGTGTATTTTCTTGCACCAAGACACAGCCGTGGGGAGGGAAAACCAGGCTTTATCAGAGATCAGAAACGGTTATATTGCCAGTAGTCAAGGTACTAGTTCTGCAAAGAATAATGTGTATAACGTAGTTACATATAGAAGGAATTTGGCTTGGTGATTGGTGCGTGAGAGTAAACATAGTGCAATAGTAAAAGACATAACTTAAAAATATGATACAATAAAACTTGATAAACAAATTAAGAGTATGTTTAAACAAGTATGGTATTATGTATATATATGTATTTGTCTTGATCTAGATGTTTTCCACATCTATAAATTGACTGAGAAAGCTCTTTGTAACCATGTAAATAGAACAAAGCATATCGTCAGGCTAGTTTAAGACTTAAGAACACGTGGTACAATTCAGTAGAGCTGCAACATGCGATCTTATGTGTTATTTGTATTTTCCTAAATAAATTAAACTCGTTCATTTGTGGTAAGACTGTTATCTGCTAACCTATATATATTTGCAAACGCACATTATAACGTAACTGTGCATTTAAGCCCAATTTAGTCAAAAGATAAAGTGCGTTTTAAGATAAACACATGTTTGAGGTCAGTTAGCGTTAGCTCGGAGTGTTAGCTAGTTATAACATCGAGGAACAACTTGTTTCAATGTTGCCTGAAAGAGGAGATATCGTCACTTAAAGTAGCGTAAACGCTACGTTATTCGTGTTGTTTATTTTGTTCACTTTAAATGAAGCTAAAATGAAAACGTTGGTGAAAAACTTACCTGTAAAATCGGAATTCCGACCCTTTGACAAACGTATTGTTGCACCCTATAGCAGCACAGATGACCGGCATGGCGTCGTTTTTTGACGAAACTGTACAATAATGCAGTCTCAAACAATAAACAATGCAGAAAGAACCGCGACGGTGAAAAAAGTGGCGGTTTGTGTTCTGTCCAACTTATTCTTCTTCTTCCTATTTGTGTCCAACTTCTTCTTCGGCGAAGATAAAAATGTACTTCCGCTACCAACTTCCGGTTCTTTCTCTGAAGATCCGCCCTCGAGCGTCGGTTCAGGAGAAAAAGAGGTGTAACTGCGAATAACTGTGAGCGTTATATATTTCAGAGCTTTAAACAATATCATAGATGAAACTACCCAACCTATTGCGATAATAATCCAATAATATAATATGTAAGAATAATGACAGGGACCATTCTTTATTTATTATATCGTTGGATAGCTCACATCTGCAGAGTTAGATTTACCCTATTTGCCTCCAAAATGAAGTGGAGTAGATGTATAAAGTACCATAAAATGGAAATACACAAGTAAAGTACAGGTACCTCAAACTTGTACTTAAGTTTAGTAACGTTAATTGAGTAAAATTAAGCAATTACATTCCTGCACTGCCAGCTACCTGCAAGACTAAACACTGGGCCCTAAACCCTCAAGGAACAAAATCAGCTTCCTGTTGCGCGAGCCGCTGGACCACGTGATATATAACTACGCTGGCTGGCTAGCGAGCTAACATGCTAGCTCCCGTTGTCAGAGTCGTTGTCAACAGCCACAAACGGACGGATTAGCACACCCGCAACTAACAAGTAATTGCAAACTCGCGGAGTCTCGAAGTCTCCGGCAAGTTAATCAATGTTGCCCCTTCAGTCGGTAGCCATTAGCGCGATATTGAGTTAGCTAAGCTAACGTTTGCTAGGTAAGTTAGCTGTTAAACTTGTTTAAAGGGTGTTTCTTTTTGAGTGCGGGGGTGTTTGGCTAACGGCCTTGTTTTGGATTTGACTTTGACTTTGAAGCTAATCTCAATTTAACATCCACTTGTACGGTTTATACATCAGCAATGTTTGAAGGCTAACCTGGTAACGTTACGTTTGATTGTTGTTGCCGTTAGCTAGCTTATTGTTTGTCGGTTAGCTTTCATTACGACTGGTTTATCTCTCTCTCTCTCTCTCTCTATATATATATATATATATATATATATAATGTTAGCACCAAGTCTGTGGCCTAAACTACAAGCTTGTATCAGCAGTGTCAATTTAAAACTTTGCCAAATGTGTTTAAGTTGCGACATGCTGGTTCAAGTGTTTAGTTGCATAACACGATTGCGAAATGAGCTTAAACTAGCTTAAATAAGTAGCCACCGAGGCTAACTGTAAATTAGCTAGTTTGGCCCAGACTGTGTGTTTGGTTTTCACATCTTGTTGCAGCGTATTTTTGTCCCTGGTCCACCTACACGGGTGGTTTCACTTAAATAGTCCTCTGTGTTGGCGTGTGTTTTTTCACCTGTTGTCAGTGCAGTTTGATTTAATCATTTTTTAGTAGTGTGGTCACTTCCCATAGTTCCCAGCACAGCTCCTCCCAGTGTTAACCTGAGCAGAGTCTACAGTCAGAAGAAGTGAAATCATCTGGGTGGGTCTGCAAGACCTTTAAATAACTGAGTGCACTTCTTCTTCTTCCATCACTATGTTTGTGGGAACTTTGACTCGTTCTGAAACCTGCGACTCCTGAAAACACTGACTCTTTGCTTTCACACCAAGTAGTTGCTGAGTAAGGTTGTCCATTTTTTACTTTAGGGTAACATCCGTTGGTCCTTTTTTGAGAATTTTTAGAAAGGGACATTTCCTACGCAGTCATGCTGTCTGTACTTGTACACTGATGCTTGGTTTTTACTGCATTTATGAACACAGCTTTCTCACAATCACTCTGTAACCCGCCAACATGGATCTGACGGTGACAGTGTTGACAGTGCCAAAGTTAAATGTTAAAATCGGTTATTTATTCCAACCTGGAGTCCTAAACTCAAAGGCAATCTGTAAAAACATCTGGAAGACTCAGAAAACCATCACACATTCTCATTTGAGGAGCTGGAACCAGTCCTTTTTGCTATTGATTGAGTAATTGTTTCAGCAATTGTTGCTAAATCATCTGAACTTTGTCTTTTATATTTACATTTGCTTGTGTAATAAGTTATCTATTTTGGGGTGTCGGCAAGATTGTGGCACATAAATATAGTTGAATTATACAAACTTAGGTTTGATTCGTTAAGATAGAACTAGTAAGATTAAAAACTGCTTCTCTCTCTTAAGCTAGATGCTAAAATGTAATATTTGACTTTAGAAGATTATTATGAGTAAACCAGGTGCATTAGGAGTGTTGTGGCATTTTGTAACATACTATACATGTAGACCATATACTGTACAGAACATGTCAGTGACGACTGTATGAGTAATAACACGAGGTTGAGAAAAGGTGTTGGATATTTAAAAAGAGGTTTGGGTATAATTCAGTGCTTTATTGATTTGGTTGGTGCGTTCATTTCATTTCCAGCTCTCCAGGAAAACATGCTCATGGACAAAGGTGACTGGATGATAAGATGCAGGGGACATTGGACTTGTACAGAGAGATCAGCGTGGAGATGACACGGGGTTATAGGCAGAGTAGATTTACGACCAAAGAATGTGAATTCACCCAATAAAACTCGATACCTTTAGAGTGCCGGACCTATTGTGTCTGTGAAACGGACTCCAGAGGTTGTTTTAAGATAAATCAAAACAGCTTTGACTTATGATCCGCTACGCTGACATGACTTTTTGATGTATTGATTTGTGGTTTGTCTATGTCTAAATATTGGATTTGTTCTAAATCTCGCCAAATGTTTTATTGTTTTGGTAAGAAAGGCTTTGAATGGTATCAACCTTTGCTTCGGGGACCACAATGTTTAATTTTAAAACAACTGGAGAAAAGATGTGGTCATCTTTGGGAGGCTGTTTGAGTAAAACGGGCTGTTTAAAATGTTCAAAGAGGGGAAAAAAAGTGTGGAGCACCACAGCGCTCTGGGGATTTAAGAGCATCGCAAATGACCAATAGTAACCTCTGGTGTTCCCGCTCTCGCCCTCCCTCCCTTCTCTGTTTTCCCTCCTGTCTCCCATTGGGCACTGCAGAAAGGGACTCATCTTCTTCCCTACTCATTGTCTTCAAGATATCGAGTCATTACATTTCCGCCCAATAAGTCACGGGGGTTTTGGCATCCTCGAGGCTCATCGGGCAAAGCGAGTCCTCCATCAGCGAGGGAGTATCGACAGCCTGAGGTTGAGGACTCTGCTGGGCGGGATGGATCGACGATAAGTAAGACGTCAACTTCAGAGGTAAGGTCAGTCCAACTCTCTGCTTGTCACAGAGTCACCGTCGCAAATTAGTTTGAGCTTAATGAGGCGTGGTATCACAATGTTGTCCTGTAGATTGTGTGTTATCTGGAGCAAAGGGGCTTCTAATAGGCTGTTTTTTTATATGTAAATGTATAGGCTGTTATTGAAAAATCCTGGTAGATTTTGATCCTTCTTTGCAGCAAATTTGTGACATTTCTGCATCATGCTGATATTGATATTTTAAAGGCAAACATAGTTAAGGATGCAAAGATTTGTCTTTTTCAGTCCCAATAGTGATACCTGATCTTTGGGTATCGATCAGATGTTTAATCAATACGCTGTGGAAGGAAACATCAGGCTTGACTTCAACATTGCTTTCCTAACTTTGGAAAACAAATGATAGATATAGATTAATAGATTAATTTAACTTTATTTATTCTTGATATAATAAATCGTACAGCAGCAAAAAATAGGAATTACATTCTAAGTTTAAACCTTTTTAATTCAGCAACAGATTGGTCTCAACTGAAGCAGGAGTTATTATTCCAGTATAGACACCGATGAAGTATATAAACAGAATAAAATAAATCCTCCCCATTGTCAGCGATATCTGATATTGGTCCATGAACATAGTTTATCGTCGTCATACTTTGTGTGAAATCTTTCATCTTGGACGGCTGCAACAACAACAACCGCTTCACTGCTTTACTGTAGTTTTATCAGCGAGGCTTTGAAAATGACTTTCGTCTCCGCTATCGTGGCCTCTTCATGTGTTGTGTTTTTATTGTAGGTAATAGAGACATTCATCATATTGTGTCATATCTAATCACAGTTCATTTACTTTCTTTTGTCTGTCTAGTGGTGACTTTGATTTCATGATTTTTGTTGCGACTGTCCCGAGTTATCTTACCGGCAACTTTTTCTTCTAATACTTTTACTTTAATACTAAGTTTCAGATATCGCTACCGGACTTTTGAGTTCCACAGTTGACGGAGCAGTTGGCATATTTAAATTGTTAGTAATTAGAGAGATTTTGGGTAAATCATATCTCGTATATTTGTGACGAAGAAGTGACATCACAAACGGTTGCGTAATACAAAGTTTGTTGTTGGTTCCCTCTCCGTCTCACATGAAACGAGTGGGACCACGCGCAAGAAGCTCATTAGGTGACAGTCGTAGTGATGGACGGACATTAGCAGACCACATTACGTCGTGCATTTTGAAGGCTAAATTCTAATAGATGGATTAATTACCTCCTGCATCCCTGAACTCATTCGTAGTCTGTCAGATTACAGACATTTAGGAAAACAAGGTAAGAAGAAACAAGTCTGTTTAGTAGAATGTTTCAGACGGTCTAAATGTTTTTAATACTTTATATTTAATTAGCATTTAGTACAAAAGTGGTGTCTAGCAGAGGCAGCAGGACCTCTCACACACAGTCTCAACATCTTTTCTTCTATGCTGTTTACATTGTTTTGCACAATATATTTGGCTGAAACCTCTGTTTCAAATGGATATATATATATATATCAGAAACACTTCTAAGTTTAACGCAGTACTGTTCAAAAAGCATCACCAACTACAGCCTCTGAAATGACCATAAAGTTGAGATCTGCCCTAAAACATTAAAACCTTCTTTAAAGTTGTATTTATTGCAGGATTTCTGTATTAGAATGCATCATTTTTAATTAGCTTGACCTGATAAACTGGCAATGAAGTTGTCATAACAAGTAAAGCATTTATATTATATCACATAATCATTTTTATTTGTCTTTATTTTTAAACTGGGGTTTCCGTCTCGCAGGCTGGTGAAGAATAGCCAGGAATCATGCCTGTGTGTGTTTTGCTGACTCAGTTTCCTGAAATGCACCCGTATGGTGCACATGACTAACTTTCATTTCTGCTTCTGCAGCCAGTCGGCTTTCATGTACACACATCCTAGATCTCAGTTGACTATAAGACTTGATATCCGAGCTCTGTCTAAGAACTGCGTTGTGCTGTTTAACCTCCTGTTATGTGATGTAATATACCTACATCTGTTCTGGATGTATGCATACAGTGTCAGGAGGTTCACATTCCTTTCCTGTTTATCACCCTTTTATGATTGTTCCTTTTGTTGCACAGGTGCACGTTGATTTCGTAATGACAAGCTGCTGTGCAGAAGATGTCCACGCTGTCTGTGACTGATATCCCAGATGTTGGTCATGGTAAGAGGAACCACTTCTCTATCAGTCGTGTGTGTGTGTGTGTGTGTGTGTGTTTAAGACCACGCATGGGTGTCTTAAATGCATCCATATGTGAGAGGAATGCTTTGATTTCTCAAGCCTTTCAAACAAAAGAGCGCTTTCAGCAGAAACTCATGACTATAAGCTCCACAAAAGTAGTGTTTACCCCGTGACTATTGCATTATATCGTATGCGTGTTGTGTTGTTTCCCAGCTTTTGGCTCATGAACGTTTGTTTTGGACACCTGTCCCTGTTGAGTTACAGTTTTTGAATGTGTTTGTGTGTCCTCCATCAGATGAGAGGAAGGTGTTTGTCGGGACCTCTGAGCTGCAGCTGGACTGCATGGTTGAGGAGAGCGACCGAAGCGCCGCAATGAAGCAGGACGGCCCGCTGTCGCTGGCTGACCTCTCCCTGCCAGAAGACCTCCCCTCCCCCCCCCCACAACGGCCTGCCGCTGACTGACATGAGAAGCCCTCTGCCGGTAGAGCCGAGCGACATTAAGCCGGAACCATCGGCAGGCGACACACCTGGCAGCTTAGGTGAGAGAAAAGTGCACACGGCTGAAATGTTTCTTTCCACAACCGACATTAAATCCGGCCGCCGGGATTGAAAAGCATTGTTTTCTTCAGACAATCACCAAAACACAGTTTATCACAGTCAGTGGCTTTAATAGAACAACGCAATTTCTGTCAGATTTTCATCTTTCCGACTCTCCTTGAACACATCATGTGACCAACGCTTCCGTCAGAAAAAGCAGCCAAAATGAAGCTTAAAAATGTCTCATTTAACATCTCGCCCCAAATAAACCGTTTGTGGTAACCAGATCCTGTAAGAAGGGTTAAAGGTTGTAAAAATGTGAATAGCTCAATATACATAAAGCACATAGAGCCACCATTCTCTTCCATTTAATTCTTTGATAAATGTGTCGTACTGCACAAAAGACATTTCTGACATTTCTCTCCTTCTAGCCGTGATGATTCTGTTTCCATAGAGGTTTTAACTTAAGACCACAGAAAGAGAAAATGTGACCGGAGCAGGGAAAAAAACGCCCCGAAACTGCTTTGGGGTGTAGAGGGTCAACGAAATATCACACATCCTTTTTTGTGGGAGTGTCCAGTTTCATATGTGGAAAAACAGGTAGTCACTACCATCAATCATCATTTAGGGACAGCTGGACACCACTGCATGTGTCAGCATTCTGAAAATGAATACAGAAGAAAAAGCTACATTTGACTTTTGGTTAAATGGTGATCATTGAACCGGTGGGACAGCTTCCACAGACGAGACTCGGCAGTATTTCTTTCTGTTGACTTGCTCATATTTTGGCCCTTTGTAATGCTACAGTTGTACTTATTATCTGTTGGGTTATTGTAGTTCCATTTCTTTTGAATCTCTTTAAAATAATCTTAATTGCAGATTTTCAAATGAATTTGAATGTTTACACAGTTAGTATTAGTTGGTCAGATACACCTGAACAACATAATGCGGTCCTATCTATGAGCCCTTATTCTTATTTTTATAAAACTTATGCATCTTAATATGGGGGTGAACAAAATATATTTTGTAATGAACTTTAAGTATATTATCTATTGAATGTTTTGCGTTGAGGGTTGTCTGTAGCTGATCTGTGCTTTGATTGGACGCCTGGAACAACTTATCTGTTCCTCATTCAAATAAGAGAAGACGAGCAGACGCTGCCGATGCTCCGAATAGCCCTCCGTGTAAACGCTGCTGCCTCAGAGAGTTGTGACTGAACTAGTTGTAGGTTCCTAACGTGGTCTGTCACCTCTTATTCTACTGTGCAGATGGTCAGCCGGTGAAGAGAAAGAAGGGTCCCGCGCCCAAAATGCTGGGCAATGAGGTGTGCAGCGTGTGCGGCGACAAGGCCTCCGGTTTCCACTACAACGTGCTGAGCTGCGAGGGCTGCAAGGGCTTCTTTCGACGCAGCGTCATCAAAAGCGCCCAGTACACCTGCAAGAACAACGGCCGCTGCGAGATGGACATGTACATGCGGCGCAAGTGCCAGCAGTGCCGCCTGCGCAAGTGTCGGGAGGCGGGCATGCTGGAGCAGTGTGAGTGTGGAGAGAATTCAGACTCTCACTGCATCGTAGCCCCGAGTGTAAAAAAAAAAAGGAACTTCCCATTAACTCCTCTTTTCACCTGCAGGTGTGCTCTCCGAGGAACAAATCCGACTGAAGAAAATGAAGAAGCACCACGAGGACGAAACGGCCCGCACGTCCACGGTGGTCACGCCGACGCCGCCGCAGGAAATGGTCTCGCTGGCTCCACAGCAGCAGGAGATGATCGAGAAGCTGGTGGCCATGCAGAAGCAGTGCAACAAGAGGTCGTTCCTCGACCGACCGAAAGTGACCGTGAGTGAGCGTCACAGAGGAGACATTGAGGAGCGTGTTTTGATCGTTTTTATTGCTCCAACTAATTGCTGAATTCTGTCAGCCTACTTGGAGACGAGGCCAAAGAAATCAAACATGAAAACCTTAAGAATGAAGGTTGTGCCCCGAAACTTCTGCTGTTTTTTTTAAGCTACAGTTGGTAATCTTGAGAAACTAGCAAGAGTACGCTAGATTTAAAAAAATCATCCAAAAGAAAACCCAGCCCAGTGTTGCCAACTCTTTTCTAACTAAGTAGCTAGCGGCACTAGCTCCAAAAGTTGCCAAATATAGCATGAAAAATGCCAACTCAAAACTGACAGACTGTCCCTTCAGGCCTCCAAAGCCACTCCCCCAAAATCATCAATATGAATTGTAAAAGTGTAGTATTGAGCGTGAACAATGGACATGACTATTGTTTGCTGTTGGCAGCTTGTGGAAGATTCCGGCAATGAGTGCAGAGGCAGAATATGCACAGCAGGGCAGCTAATGATTGGACGGGCTTTTTTTCTTTTTGTTTGTCAAAGCAAATGATTGATGTAATTTGCATTTCAACAAAAATATAAAGAATGTTTTTAAAAGATTATCAACAGTGCCTTTTAAGAGGCTGGACCTATGAAGAACTTTGTACTCTTGTACACAATTTAATCATAAACTTGTAGGTTGTATAGATATGTTTTATAGATATGAGGTTGTATAGATAAAGGGATGAGATAGGAGTTAGGATTTTATAAATACTTCTTCTCTAATCCTAAGATTAGGATTGGACTTTATTTATATTTGACAAAATGTTGTTTCTAGAGCAGCAAAGTCACTATATAGAGTCTGCAATAGATCACTAGAATCAAAACTAAAGTCAATGAAATATATCATATTCCTGAGTGAAGATTATAAATAATAAACGCAGACATCCGTCCTTCCTCCTGTCTCTGGCTTTGGTTCGTAACAATCGGCTATTAGCCGAGCTAGCATGCTGTGCTGTAAACATAGACTGCAGACAGAGCAGAATAAAGTATCACTTTCTTCATGTTGACATGTTGATGCTGGTTGAACAGATGTATTGATAAAGTATCGGCCGGTACCCAGAGAGTCAGGGACGTCTGTCGTCAATTTCTGGTAAAACCGGACTTGATTTGAGCATCTCTGCAATCCAGGTTAAACCTGAACTATGTGTGTGTCTCTCTGTGGGAAGTGTTTACGCCGTGCTAACTAAGTCATATATACATGTTTTTTTTTTTTTTTTTTGTGTGTGTGAATCTGACAGCCGTGGCCACAGAGTCAGGACCCGCAGAACCGTGAAGTGCGTCAGCAGCGGTTCGCCCACTTCACCGAGCTCGCGATCATGTCGGTCCAGGAGATCGTGGACTTCGCTAAGCAGCTTCCTGGTTTCCTGGAGCTCACGAGGGAGGACCAGATCGCTCTGCTGAAGACGTCAACCATTGAGGTTTGTCTTCACTTACCGTGCGAAATGCAGGAAGTTGAACAACGGCCTTATTTTTAAATATGTTTGTATGGTCTTTAATTGCAGTTTCAGCATATTTTGCTCTCAGGCAAAATATGTTCATACTACATTTAGGAATCGATAGCACTGATGGACATTCTACTCCTCAGCAATGCTGTTTGGAAAGCTTAGTTGCTTCCTGCATGATTTTGACAATATCAAATATCCGTTTGTCTTATTTTATCTGTGTGTTAATATTCCACTCTGTCTGTCTCAGATTATGCTGCTGGAGACATCTCGGCGGTACAACCCTGCTATTGATAGCATTACGTTCCTGAAGGACTTCAGCTACAATAAGGAAGATTTCGCCAAAGCAGGTACATTCACTTGTTTCTGCCCGTCAGAGGTTTATGAAATATGAACATCTGGAAGCACTTGATTGCCTGTATTTCACCTGTCTTACGTGCTGTTTAAATTTAGCCAAGTTCAAATGTTTTATATTCAAAGTGTCCCTAAACTATTGCAACAACTATTCAGTCACCATCGGATATTAAATACAACATATGTAACTCATAAATACTGTGTGTAGCTTTGACAATAATATATGTTTAATACAGCAAAAGAAATGCGTTTACTTCTTTAAAGTGACTTCTAGTGTCCTTGTTCTTCCTCTCACCTCCTCAGGGCTTCAGTTTGAGTTCATCAACCCCATCTTTGAGTTCTCTAAAGGAATGAACGACCTGCATCTGGACGAGGCAGAATATGCGCTGCTCATTGCCATCAACATCTTTTCTGCAGGTCAGAATTCCTAAACTACACAAACATGCAGTGAATCCTCAAAGTGAGAATGTATTTAGAGTAAAACAACCCTCCTTATCAAGTCTTTAAGGGTGTTCACTGTCGCATTATCATAAAGTATGAACCGTATTTTACCAAAACAGTCCGTAACAGAAGTGTCTGTCTGGTTTAAAAACTCTGTTCAGATCGGCCAAATGTGCAGGATCACGATCTGGTGGAGCGGCTGCAGCAACCCTACGTGGACGCGCTGCGCTCTTACATCATGATCAAGAGACCAAATGTGAGTTTACGTAACCTCTTCTCTTGTGACCGACGGTGTGTCAGCATAACCTGGTTGTCGTCACTATGGAAGGCACATTGGGTCAGGGCCGGGGGGGTTGAAGCGTTACCAGATCAGTTGTTTGCTTCATGAAAAAGGCATTTTGGAGAAACGGTTCTACTGTAATGCAGCTGTTAGGTGGAAGTGACTTAACTGAAAACAGAGCTACAGGCCAGCATTAAGTCATTCCTGCTGAGGTGATATTTTTAAACCTGTTTTGATGGTTCCCTCAGGATCATTTGATGTTTCCTCGCATGCTGATGAAGCTGGTGAGCCTCCGTACGCTGAGCAGCGTGCACTCGGAGCAGGTCTTTGCCCTTCGCCTCCAGGACAAGAAGCTTCCCCCGCTGCTCTCTGAAATCTGGGACGTCAACGAGTGACATGACCCCCCCCCCCCCCCACCCGATGTCACGCTCTCTTTGAGGCCTGAGACGAACGCGGCATTCCAGCAGGAACACTGACTCCTCTCTGCCCGCGTGGTCGGGGATCGGTTATAGCAGTGAGATTGTTTGGTTTTTCTCTCGTGGGAGGAAGAGGAGGAGGAGGAGGAGGAAGAAGAGGAGGAGAGCATCGTCGCCCCTTTGCTCTCAGACAGACTGCTAAATGTTTTTTTGTGTTCACGAGGAGAAACATGAACACCTAGTTGTCTTTGAGCCTTTTTGTTGTCTTTACGTTCGTGTAGATGCTGACACGATTATGGCGATATTAAATACCAGCATAATGAGGCTCTTTAGCCAGTTTGATTTAATATCTGTTGAAAGTTCTATACACGTCCTCTCACGGTTATAATCTGAGCAGGTGTTGGCTCCAACGTCAGGATCACAGCTGCACAGTCAGGTGAAATAGGAATAGATATATTTTATTTTTTTGCAGTCGTGCAATAGGTGGAGATGGATGCAGAGTTGAGCAGACGCGCGCGCACACACACACACACACACGCACACACACACCGGTGCTGTTCACTTTGTTGACGTTGGGTATAGTGGTAGGCCATCTGGTTGGTAGTGTGCATTGTGATATGGCAGCAGATAGTCTGTGTTCCTGTTCAGAAGCTTGGTGTAGTGCTCAGGTAAAGTAATGTGAAGTCCACCTCTGGGAGTTGGAGGCTTCTTTGATTCCCATTTGAATACTTTAGTGCATAAGGGGGGGCTCTTTTGGTCATTTATAAACACCCATTAACTTTCATGTAAATTGTATATTTATTATATAGAGCACACACACAGGTTGTACAATCACATACATACAACTCTTTAGACTGTGCCCTCATTAAGAGGACACTGACGATGAGACAAAATCCTTCTTTCACACACAGCACCGGAACCGTGAGATCGGTGATACTAACAAGTCTTAAACGTTGGTTAAAAACAGGACGTCACGCTACCATCTCTGTGACCCTCCAAATATATAAGAAATCCATCCTGACAGTTGTATTTATGAATCAAAACAGAAAGAATCGCCTCTATTATCACCTTATTTGTCATTAACGTGTATGTGAGATGTACTTTTTATTCATTTCATTGCAAAGCAGTTTATATTTAGATATTTTTTTTTCAGTTTTTTTTTTTTCACCACTAGCATTTTAAAGGTGTGCGAAATGTATCGACAACATCCACATAGCTTGAGCAGGATGTAGAGGACGTGACAGCCTTTTATTTTTGATAATAGACCGCGTGAATGACACTGAGGGGAACGATCGGGATCTAAAGTATCGTACTGAACACAGACCGCTTTAACTGCTCAGATTTAGGGGAAAAAAATGTACCAAAATCTCTATTAACGGGGAGCAGAGAACGGTGGATGAGTAGAAACATTACAATATTGAGTTATAATAAAGTCTATAACTACAGAGATGTAGGTGTTCGTACTCGTGCTGTGTTTCTCGATGCGTTCGCCTGTTGCAGTGTGAACTTGAAATGCTTAATGGATGATAAAGAAATGTCGACGCAAATTCATAATTGTCAAGTTTATTTATTTTTAGGGCTGAAAACCAGACGACATAATGCTTGAAGTAGCTTCACGAGCGGTCTGTGCAGTTCCAGGTGTCAGCGTTTAAAATGTCACACAAAGAAAATCAAGCATTATACTGTATTTTATATAATAAATTATACAATTTAGTTTGGTTTTTTAATTCATAAAGTTGCATTTAACAGCCAACCTTTTTACAGCCGAAGTGGAACATTAATTGAAATGTAAATAGACACGAGCTACTCCACTATAATAACAGCCAGGCGTAGTTTTGATTTCATCCCAATTAATTGTTTTGATCATTTTAATTTCTATCTTCTTTTCTTTCTCTCTTCATCCAAGAATATGTCTGTATTACATATTTTTGTTTCATTTAACGACCTTTTGTGGATCTCACAAATGGTCTAATCATTCAATTTTTTTTTTTATTGCCAATTTAAAATAATTTCTCCACAGCAGACATTTAGTCTTTCAAACCCAGTCTTAGGAATACTGCAGCACTGCTAATGCAACTTTAATAACGGTCACAGCATAAATTGTTGAGTCAACATTAACGGCCTTGGTTGTGTTTAAGAGATTTTAATTTGATTTACTGCTTCCTTGTGCATCAGCGTATCTGATCTCTGACGAAACACCCGGTGAGCTTCACCGGTTGGTTGGTTGAATGAACACAAAGGATGTTTTTCTTCCTCATTCTTTATTGTATTAACAGCGGTCACAGAAACAATAGTAACCAGAGCGTTCGTCCTTCCTCTTCCTAAACGGATGGAGAAAAAAAAAAAATGGCTGACAAAAGGCTTCTGTTTATGAAAAGGCAACACGAGGAGCTCAGGTTTCATTCCCGTCTTCAGCTGTGTGGGAAATCATTTGCCTGAATTAAAAGTCGAGCTTGATTCTAGTAAAGATCGCGCAGAAGAGTTTCTGGAGGCTGGACGGCATAACAGACATTTTGTGACCGTGTATTATGTCGAGACGCTTTTTAATTATTTCATTACTTTTTATTGACACTCAATAAATGATTTTGTTATAGATTTTCTTACATCCCTCTAACCCTTAAATTATGTATTTAATTGTGTTTTTTTTTTGTGACGGGTCAATCAATATGAAAAGAAGCAGAATAATCAGAGTGCAGCATTTTGAGACCATAAGTGATTGTTTTTTGTCATTTCTTTTGGGTTTCTTTTTAAATTAAATGTGTTTTTTTCTGCTTGCAGGTTATCTCTAGCCAAACACTAACCATTAAGTTGAACAAAAAGGATCTTCTGTATTATTGGGGTGTATTTTTCCACAGTATGAATCCCAGGTCTCCTGACCGTGGAATCATTTAGTCATTTCTGTGATCAAACAAGCAAAAACAAAAGCCCGCCTCTTTCTTTCGTGAGTGTTCATGTTCTGTTAAATCTGTCGGTATCAAAGGTTAATGGTTCTGTATATACTGTAATTGTCATCTCTGATCTCATTTACGTCCCGTCGTCAAAGGGTGACACTGTAAACATTGTTGATGTATAGAAATGCAAACCTATTTTAATACTCGTAACTCATGAAGACCTGTTTTGTATGTACAGTATAAATTAAAGCTATGCTGTAGTGCTGATGTCTTTGGTTTTATTGACGTTGATGCTCAGGGACTCAAATCAGACCTCAGTGATTGTCCACATGTACTCGGCTTTATTTCGTATCTAAACGGGACACCATCCTGTCTCACTTCATTTGCTATTTTTTATTTGTCCGTAACTCAAGAATTGATACGCTAATTTGAGATTATTATGTCACTAGATTACATAGGGGCCCTATTTTATATAATTATTTGGAATTGTAACCTATTTATTATGGATGGTGTACGAAATTTGTATACCAGCGTCTCAAAACCGATACTAGTATAAATATAGCTAGTAATTCAACAGCTCAGGGCCCCAAAAAGGCTTTGCAAAACTGTTTTTACTGATTATTGAGGAAACAATTGCAACCACAGACACACTAGTCCCTGTAGAGTCTGCATTCTTCTCAATTTTTTTGTTAGGTTTGTTTGTTTTCTTCCACACCAAAACTTTACCAGAGTTCCCATTTAGGGTTGTGTGGTGCAATAGAAAGAATTTGGAGAGTTTGAGATTTAGGGGGATTTTAGGATCAGGAAAAAACATTTTATGGTCCCTTTACCAAAATAATACCAGTATCTTTTAGATTATAGATTCAACTGTATTGATGTTGCACAGTACAAATACTGAGACAGCTACAAAATGCAGTTTTGCATCTAACCAGAAGTTATGAGTATTTTATTGTTACTCTTATTTTTTTTGGGGGGGGGGGGGGGGTTCCTGTTCTGATGTGAGGGTCCTGGGACAGGATGTTGGATGAGCACAGATCGTAAAACCCTTTGAGGCAAATTTGTAATTTTGGCGATACAAAATCAATTGAATTGAAACATATAGTGGCAAAATAAATAAACAGTGAGGGGATATGACTATGCTTGATGGCAGTATTAAAAAAAATCTAAAGTTTTAAAGTGATATTAATTGTTATGAATTGAAGTTAATAATTTAAGTTTGTGGGGTTTTATCCGACCCTGTTAGGCGATAAAAACACCTTAAAATGCAGTAAAACTGTCCAGACTGATTATCGACTGAAGCTACAACCACCGCGGTCACTCCCTGTGGAGAGAGAGAGAGAGCATTAAGTGGGTTTCGTTAGGTCTCAATATGCGGAACTCCCTGCAGACCGACGATGATGAGGAGGAGGATGTTGTGAAGGAGGCAGGTCTGTGACTGACACACACACACACACACACACACACACACACACACTTCGCATCACTTATTTACGCAGCCAGCCCGTTAGAGGAAGTCGCCACCTCTTTTGCAGCCGACATTTCCAACGTTACACCGATGATCTAAAGAAAAGCAAGAAGGCTGAATCCCCCTCTTCTCGCCCCTCTTCGCCCCCCTCTGTGACCGCGGAGGGGTTCCCATCCCACCCAGGTCATCATCATCCGCTGCTGGTCTTTTATTTTTGCAGCGAAACGTTAGCAGCTAACCGGCTAATGCTATCAGGAGGTAAGGATGCCATCACTCAACGTCTCTGCTATTTAACGTTAACACAATTCAATACATTTGCGGCTACTGCTTTATGATGTCACCACCGTTGTTGTTTATTTTTACTTTTGACAGGCTTTTATTGTACGAGATAAGTCGCTCAAGCTACTGTTAGCAGCTAACGTCAGTTAGCGTTAGCTGCTAACAGTAGCTTGAGCTAGTTTAGCTAATCCACCCGTGACGTAGAAAACCCGTTAAGCTAGCTAGCAGAGTGGAGGCGAGAGGATGCATCTTTAGGGGTGAACATGTAGGACGAGCTGAAGGCCTGACAGCTCGTCAGATACACACACACACACACACATAAAATACATGATAACAAGCGTTACAGCATCGCTCTCTGCAGTTGTGTCATTTTATACACGATGACGAAACCAGCGTCGGACACGAAACACGACTGATGAGATGAGGCCAGTTGATTTAAATCGGAAATGCATTGAATGACCACGACGTTGGAGTAAATCCAGAGGTTGTTAATGATGTCAGTGAAACGAATAGGGAGGAACTACGCTATTGAATGAATGCACCTATATATCATCCTGGTGCTAAATATATATGTATTAATGTAATTCTTTATTAACACAGGTAACTGTTAGTCTAAATGAGATGGGGACCTGTGTAAAATATATTTATAAAATAGTACAAAAAAAAAGTACATTTGAAGCACAGATTCACAGATTTTGCAGTGACAACATGTATAAATATATATATTGCTATTCATTGATGTGTGTTAAAGAGGACCATGGCACCTTTTTCTATACGGTGCATTGGTGAGTGACCTTTCGGTTTTGGGAGAAGCATGCTTACACAATATCACCACAATCAAGCGATGTCATATGCATTCTGAATTTTAACATGCATTCAGGTCAAAAATATGAGAGAGGTCTATTTTAGTACCAAATACTCAGATAGACGGAGTTTAAGCTGCCGTAGATGTTGGATACTAGCTTTATATTTCTGATTTAAGACAGAAATAATGTCAACTTCATTGATCCGGAAGTTAGATTTCACTTGGATGGTAATGCATGTAAAAACGGCTCAATAAGATGAGAGGAAACGTAATATAGAGTGCAAATAAAGCTAAGTAATGTGCTAAAAACAAATGTACACAATACTATACGTGTAAACAGGTTTTAAACAGATCAAAGGGGATAACAGTCGGTGTCTTAAATATAACTGGTTAACAGTAAGGTGGAATTAAAAACAACAGCGAAGGTCATAGACAATAAAACAATGACAAATGGGAGGAATACATCATCTATCGTGCGATGGTTTGTTAGCTGTGGGATTTTTAAAGTCGTGGGAAGACAAAAGTATCGCTGTATTACTAATAAAAACAAGGTAGGCATGTCATTACTGTTATGTAATGCACACCTCCATGTAACTCAAAGTAAAAGTTTGCCATTCTCACTTTCATGTGACACACTTGCACGATAGCACATGACTCCAATATTAAGATATACTCCTGGTAACCTCTGGAAAAACAGAACGGCACAAGTGCCAAACACGGGGTTCACAAGCCAGACGAGGTCTAAGAAAGTCTTTCAGGCATTTTTTATGACAGATTGATATGTATGAGAGAGGAGAGCAGGCCTGGAGAGATCCAGACTCATTATGTGCTAACCAGTTTTATTGACAGGGGACCAAATAGTTCTTATATCTGCTCAATCAGCTGTGGAACGTTCTACGACTGGATCAATAAGGAAAGCATTGTAATCTAAAAGTGAGAACGCGAGGATCGATGCTTTCTTAATCCGCACTTCATCTCTCCCTCGTCTGTGTGTCCTCTCCATCGCTACGTACCGCTGATGGCTGTGAACGTCAGTGAATCATATCCATCTCTCTGCTTACATAAGCGGACCTCACTTATCTGTTGTGTTCACCTCCATCGTTATCTTTCATTTGAATATTACGCCGTGCTGTGCTGATTCTTTTATCCCTTATGTATTGTTTTTATTAGAGAGAGAGTGAGAATACCAAGCTCATCCATTACATACAATCGGTGAAGTGGCGTGTAGTCCACCCGCCCTCATCTAAAAATACTGCTGTGGTTCTGGACGAGTCTGCCTCCTGCTCTGCTGCTTCATAAAATAGCCATTTTGGCTTTGCTCCCGGAAGCGTTTGCGTTGCCAGACCCGCACGTTGATTCATTGTCCTGATGGTTTGTGCGAGATAAAGAGGGTTAGATCTGGATTCTGCCCTCGCTGCTGGAGTACATCGTGTTGACGGAGTTATCTCCCCTTTTGCCGTGACGAGGGTTCAGGTTGTTACTCCAGTATCGGGCCGATACTGACTCAAATAGCTGGATCGGTTATCGGTGACAACGGAGCTGAGCTATTCAGTTCTATGTCTGTATACATTCAAGGTATCCTCGTACAACGGTCTGTAGAATATCTTACTAAAAGTTACTCCTCGTTTTTCGTGCAACAAGCGTCAATTTCCGCTCGTTTCATGCAACCAGTCTTTCCTGAATAAACTTCTGTTTTCAGAGGGAACTTGTATTTAGGCTAAAAAACTACTTAGGTTCAGGAAAAGATCGTTGTTTAGGTTAAAATACCCACGTAAGTGTACTGAAGTACACAAGTAATGTGACAGAAACATCAGCGTTGACTTTTAGTTTCATGCGGGGAGCAAACCGCGGTATATTTATTTGTTATATTATAGGAAACAAATGTTTAAGTGAAGCCTGGTGTTTCCTTACATTTAAATGTATCCCAGTCTCTTCCACGCAGTGAGAATAAAGCACACAGCGTATTAATTAAACATCTGATCGGTGCTCTATATCGGCCGACACCTAAAGCCCAGGTTTCTGTATCGGGACTGAACAAGTCGTATCGGTTCATCCGTGCTCAAGAAGATAAAGATAGAATAGTGTGAAGAACAAGTGTTTCAACACCACGTATGTTCTCTCTCTGATCGGATCTACTTATTCATGGAAGTGACGGTTTACTTTGGTCTTCTCATTCGTTTACATGCAAATGCTAGTATCATGGTGTCGGGCTGGCAGTGTATTTGAATATTTATTCTAAATGTGACGAGAGCTGACATTAAGCTGACTCAGCCAGACGTAGTTCAGCTTATGAGTCTTCTTATGGCCCCGCACACATCAAATACTGCTGCGTTACTCATTCATGATGCTAAAGCTGCTGTGTTTTTTGGGGTCTATTCTGTAATTAAGTAACATTTTGACCATTTTACCATCATCCATTAAGAGTGTAGTTCACTTCTGTATTATGTCCCTCTGTTTCATGTTGCTCATTTGCACACAATAGGCTTAGTCAAGTCTGTATTTTACTTACATTTACTCACATTATAACCTTTGATGTCAAGGCTCTGCGTAAACATTTTTATATATATATATATAATCTCAAAAGGCCTATTTATGTTCATGTAATACTACAAAGACCTCATGCTCCGGTGCGAGTGGGTCTCCATGCTTTTGTTGAGCACACAAAATGTCAAAACTTTAATTTATAATCTCCAGCGCAGCCTCAGCCTGAAAGAGGCACAAAGAACAGAATCCAACCAAACGAGGTGCTGATGCAACAGCTTCTATAACGGCTGAAATCTTCTAGTCATGGTGTTTTTGATTTGAATGAATTCACAGATCAGTAAATGTAAGTTATGCTTGAAGTGCAGACTTTAGTTTGACCGACGTCTTCACCTTTTCTTTTGTAGTAGAAAACACGCTCCAGTCGGTTAAATTATGCATCCATTAGCTTATCAGTGCAGGGATAACAACCTTTATGTGACAGTGAGACGCTGCTCTGGGGACCGTGTTTGCGTTTCAGGGTGGAGTTTCTGAATGTGGCGTTTGTTTGGCCTCAGATAAAAGGCTGTTGGGCGTGGCGTGACACGACATAAAGTAGATCCTGTCACTCATCACACGTGTGTTACAGTTGCTACTGTGGGCTTATCCCTGCTGTCAGATATGTTTTAATACCAAGTACAATATAATAATGTACATGCATTTCAAAGCATGAAGAGTTGGCAGCTTCGGTGCTCGTCCCTCAGAATGACAAAGCACGGGCTTTCTTTGTAGAGCTGCCATTTTATAACGTTTTAATAATCATGCTGGGAGAAATCTGTTGTGGGAGACACAGACTGACTGGAGTCTCAATAAGACTCGGTGGTTCTTTGTAATGAAAATGACATTGTTGTGCTTTTTTATGCTGTTTATATCGCTGTGGATGGTAGTTAACTAACAGACGTAGATGTCGATGAAGCAGTTCTCCCTCGTTTGGGGGTGTGGCAAGTTCCTTATGCATATCGGTAACATGTCGCATTATTGCAGCTAACAACATCACATGACATATCTGTGGCAATGTGAAAACAGTGTGTCTGTAAATAGAAAAAAGTCTGAAGCTGAATATAATCCCTCCCTTGTTTTAAACGGAGAGCATTGTCCTCACATGTAGAGCTCATCCAGACCAGCGCTCTATGAGACCATCACCGGTGTTGTTGTAACTCTGTTTGACTAAAGAACAGCTCACTTGTGATCATGTGCTGTCAGCAAAGCAACAGGAATATTGTTTTTGATTGTGTAATGTTGTCAGGGAAGTTGAGATGACGTGAAAAACTCCTTTTTAACCCTTTTTAGATTACATTCTCGGTCATGTTGTTCACATATCTAACAATATATGCAGAAAAAATACAAGAAAATCTATTCCTCTGTATTTCTTATATCAAATCCAATCATCTTTTCTTCCACTGAAGTGAAATATGAACTCGCATACGGAAGCTAGCACTGACTACTTTCAACCAGTAATATCATCATGGTCCATCCATCAGTGGTGGAGCCACAGTCCTCTGTAGCTCCGGTTCGGGCTACATTACTGTTCAAGAGGACAGAGCTCACAACGAGGAAACATTGTGATCTTATATACTCTGTGCGGGTTTCTCCTCGTGGCAAACCCACATTCTCAAAGTTCCTCAAGGTTCATCCATGTAGTTAATAAATGTTGGATGTGCACAGACGGGCGAAAAGCTGCCCCGCAAAAAAACCCCGCTAAGGGCCGTGTGTGATGGTGTGACGTCAATTTGGCCGTGTGGACACCCACAACCCTCGCGGATGCGGCAAGCATAAATTGCACCTATGCCCGCCCACTATTTATTGGTCCAATCAAATGCAAAGGATCTGATTTAAATCTCTTGTAGCTGTACACCGCTCAAATATTCTGTTTCCCTTGTAAATATGTCAAAGTACAGATTAAGAGTGGGAGTCTCCAGAGGCCCCACGATATGGTATTATTGTCATTTGATCCAAGTTTGCACTTAGTTTATGTCACTTCAATCATTTATTCTTACAGCACAATAGCTTTGTCAGTCCAGCAGACATACTCATTGGCATAAGAACCTATTTGTAAATGTTTCCTCGTGCACCTGACACACTGAACTGTTTGTATTACAGTCTACATGTTCGAATCCGGCTCACTTTACCCGTGAAACAACTCATCTAGTGGACTGAAAAAGGTTGAATTCGTATTTGCAATATCAGTAGTTGCATAATAAAGATCGATACTTGGCGTCCGCGTATCGATACAATATTGACACGCAAACTATTGTGGTACTACGCTGTATCTGGTTTTTTTCCCTTCTGTAGCCGAGAAGCTAGAGATGCTATAACTTCTGCTTCACTGGGACTTAAATGTTACATTTTTAATGTTATACATTCTCCGTCCTGCTGTTCTAATAATGTGAAGATTACAGTTTTGTGACTGTGAGGTGATTATCCATCTGTAGAGGGGGCTGGTTGAGTTACCTGACAGGGATTTAAGAGCCATAGTTGAAGCTATGAAGGAGGATTATTCCACCGCGGCCCCTCAGCTGCTTACATATCACTGAGCCTCGACTGAACAGTCCTCATCCTCTGACAGAACAACCAACGCTGAAACACTGGCAACACTATCAAAGTTTCAGAGGAAAGCACCATGCATCTTTTACTCCGCTCTGTTTTTAGGGCCGCTTTAATACCTTTTTATTATTGTTGGTTCACTGGACGTGCCGCTGGAGGCTTCTGTGCCTCCGCCAGCCTCGTCTCATCATCTGCCGTGTGAATGACAACGTCTACATGGCGTCATTGCTAACGTCTTTCGTTTCGTCTAAAGTGAAATGTAGATGTGACATTTACAGCAGAGGTGCGATGCTGTTAGTAGGCAAGAAAACATCTCGCAGTATTATAACCGTCCGTTATGTTCCAGGGCTTTTTATTCAAACCATCAACTGTCATTTGTGGCGTAAGATTAGTAGTATTGGTTCAGGGAAAGTGGGAACTACTGCAAACATGAGTAGAATATTAAGGCACACGACTTATTTTATAGTCCTCGACATTCAAAAAGAAAGTCGGACTATAAACCTATGATGCCACAGTTGGCCTAATTGTGCAGCTGTGTTCTGCGGTGCTGGGGACCAGATTTCTTCACATAACGTTCCACGTTGTTTCTCCTTGGTTTACATTCCGGTGTTTGTTTAATTGTGTTCATTGAAACGTGAAAGTAGACTTGTTCCAACATCGATGCCAGTGTCAGAAATGCCTCTGAAGGCTAAAATTGTATCTGACCATCTTTACTGGAGTTAATTTGTTCCCCACATCTTCTTCTTATGTTACAGGTTTGTCTTCTTTTGAACCGTCACGATGATATTCAAGGAGCTGCGTTTTAACTGTACACCTGAACTCTCCCAGCTGTGATGGAAAAGCACCAGTGACTCGAGAGGAAAACATAAATCTTGGATGCCGTGACGTACGGGACGTGGTCAGTCCAAGATGGAGAAAAAGAAAATGTGCCCTCGCCTTCTGGACTACTTGGTGGTGGTCGGAGCGAGGTAATTTAACCTCATCCCACTTCTACAAGCAGTTTTGGTTTAAAGGAATATCCGAGTCAACTTAGTCATGAGGGAGGCTGTAAATGTTGCTTTGAGAAACAGCGTTTAGTGATGAAATATCTGTCGTCAAGTCTTGGACGCTCTGTGGTGTCCTAGCATATGATGAGCAATCAAACTTTCTGGTAGTTGAATCATCTTCTACCTGTAGCCTGCTGTGACTCATAAACGCTTCACCAACATGCCTCTTGCACTGTTTTTGTTTGTTTTGGAAAAGGCCAGTTTGTTCTAACTTCTAGAAGTTTTTGCTCTGGAGTCGATGCAGCAGTAGCACGCGTAGGGAAGGATAGTAGCACAGCAGCCACAAAGGGGAAAATGATGGTTCACAGGAACACAGTGAAACTGTACTGGATCATTTAGGGTTTTTAAGTGTTATGCTTATGGGAAATTTGAGGGTTTTTGTGGGATTGCGTTGTGCTATCGACTGATCAAATTCACGACCATTTCAAGTTAAATTCAATACGGTTGTTATACGTGAGGGGTAATGTACGTGCAGATACATCAGATATGAGTTGTTAAAATGCACAGGAAACAAAATTGACCCTTTGCTAAGTCCCACACTCTCAAACGCAGAACATGAACAGTATTCTAACAGGATATGAAATAAAGAATCCGTTTAGAGAAAGAGCTTTTTGTTAACGAGTAAAATCCTTTTTAGTTTAACCAGAAAAAACTGCTAAATACAGAAGACTCCAATGACAAAAACAGTAGTTTTACCGTGTTGTAAAACACACTTGACAAAACAAATGTTTCTCCATCTCCCCTCCAGGCAACCAAGCAGTGACAGTGTGGCTCAGACTCCTCAGCTCCTCCGCCGCTACCCGCTGGAGGACCACCACGACTTCCCGCTCCCACCCGACGTGGTGTTTTTCTGCCAACCAGAAGGCTGCCTGAGCATCCGCCAGCGACGGGTCAGCCTCCGCGACGACTCCTCGTTTGTTTTCACGCTGACGGACAAGGACTCGGGAATCACCCGCTACGGAATCTGCGTCAACTTCTACCGTTCCTTTCAGCGAGGGCACCACCGCGCTCGCGGCGACAAGAGCGGCCACGCTGAGACGGCGGCGCAGGCCACCGAGACCGCCAGCGATGGGTCCGACGGCAGCAGCAGCGGCGGAGGAGGCCCCGCCTCCGGGCTGTCGGCGCCTAACAATGCCGGGTCGGCACCGCCGCCCGCCTCCGGGGAAGAGAGCGGACAACCGGGTGCCGAGCCAAACACCGGCAAGTCGCCGCAGCACAGGCGAAGCGCTGCCAAGATGGCCGCCAGGAACCGCAACAGCACGCTGACCTCCCTGTGCATACTCAGCCACTACCCCTTCTTCTCCACCTTTAGGGAATGCTTGTACATTCTGAAGAGGCTGGTGGACTGCTGCAGTCACAGGCTAACTCTGCGAGCCGGGCTCCCTCGCACCACCCAGAGGTGAGGCTTAAGATGGCATCTTTACGCGTCTTTGTCGCTTTGTCGTATTTTTCTTTCTGTGTACCATTCCACCCTGGTGCACATTAAAACATACCCTGCTTCTAAATATTTTTGGTGTAACAGTGGCACAATCAAAACAAAACTGTCCACTAGAACTAGCTAAATCTGGTTGGTTGATGTGAAAATCCTGACCACATTCATGCTCGCCAGATGAAGAACGCTTATTGCTTTTGACATTGCTTCAGGCCAGATGTCGGCTCATTATCAGGCAGATTTCCACGAGTTCATTCATATTACCATAGAACCTTTTGCTTTTAATGAAACCATGGCATTTTCTCTCACACCATCAGTTTTTTAAGTCCTTGAATTTGACTTGATTTAACTGAACCTCTAGAGGGCTGGGGGTGGTAAGTCTTTGCCCTTCATAAATCTGTACATGCACACAAAATAGGGTTGAACGGCATGCTTCAAACCGCAAAGAAATAGGTAAATACGGCTCATGCTTGATAATCTGTCTTCATCATCTGTAAACTGTTGAATAGCATCATTACATTCATGGCGACATGGCAAATTATTTTGCTTGATAATGTCGCTTAAAATCGTCTTGGCTTCACTTTACTGTCTCAAACCTAAAACGTTAACGATTTGTTGCTTCTACAGTGTTCCCGCTGATGTTTTCTGCAATTCCCCCCCCCCCCCCATCTGCTCCTCTCATTGTCCACCTGTTATGTGTCTGTTTGTGTTGCACAATTAATACCAGGGCTTTTGTCTTTGGCTCCATGCAGTTTTGCGGGCCATCTGCAGCTCGTGTGTCATGTTTTCTCAGTGCGCACTATGCTATCATCACACTCCACCTCCATGATACATACACACACAGTGATACATACACAGTGCATTTAACAGGTTTTATCATACAGCAAATCATATGTCATCCAGTGCTGTAGGTTCAACTGAGGTACGGAGACACTTTTTAGGAATAATAGACTTAATGTAATTTGTGCATGGTTTACCCACTTCATAAGAAGAACCTGCATTCAGCCCGGTGTTTAGCTCATTAGACGAGATAACCAAAGAGTGGATCATTTTGTTTGGTGATCTTTCTTCTTAATTAACCAGCCGTGTTGATTGATTCTTATTTGCTTAATGCTGCAGAAAGTACCCACAGCTGTGCACTGTATTTTGTCGTGGCATTGTGTTGTGATGTCGTACTTGCAGTGCGCTCTTAGTTATCATGGGTGACACAACAGATTGCAGTTTAGGAGCGGCAAAGTGTTGATTAGGCTGTCACTTCACACTGGCTTTGGTCATCCAAAGTGTTTTCTATTTATTTATAGCTGTTTAACCAGCACAGCAAGGGATTCTAGTGATGAGTCTAATGCACAGATAATTTCATATCTGCATCATGCTGCAGCCGATATCATCAATATAGATTTCTCGAAAAAAAGGCTGTTAAAACCATAGGCAGAACAGAACTGAGAACCTTCCCCCCCCCCCCCCCCCGACATGGTTGGTTGAAAAGTATCGTGGCGATGACAGAGAGGCAGGAGAGCCGTTGCATAATGGCTGCGAGCGCGCTCTATGCTATGGCGGCTCTGACAGATTGAGGTCTCTGGCTGCCTTTGGGTAGCAGCTGCAGTTGGTGGGAGGGCTCCAAAGGACTAATGATTTATCTCCCTCCTTACCACACACACACACTGAGCATGCACCCTAGAGAGGGTTTAATGACACCGTGTGTGTAGAATGGAGGGTTTGCACATCAATATTTCGGTGATTGCTTAAGAGCCTCTCTTGTGTTTTCGATCTCATTTGCTGGTTATATTAGTGATTTGGTCGGTGTTTGCGGAGGCCTCGCCGAAGCTGTTTGCTGCTGTGAAATGAGCAAATGATTTAGTTTAATCTGTTTTTAATCCTAAAAATCACTGTTTACTGACATCAATACATGTTCTTTATTAAGCGTAACAGATGTTGCATGTTGTTGACATTTTTTTGATGATGGAAATGGAGTCACTGTATATTAGGGCTGTGTATTGGCCATAATTTGGCAATATGATACGTATCATACAGGGGCTTTGATTCAATATATTGCGATGATCAATCATTTTAGGAAAACTGTCATAGTATTTAAAAAAAAAAAAAAAAAAAGTATAGTTTTTATGCAATCAGACCAGTGAGATTTGCATTTTCAAAAGTTCCTGTAACATCCATTTTGACACTCTGTCTACGTCCTTCTCAGGGACACCATGTGGCGGGTGTTCACCGGGGCGCTGTCGGTGGAGGAGAAAGGCAGCCAGCTGCTGGCGGACCTGCGGGAGATTGAATCCTGGGTGTACCGGTTGCTTCGCTCACCGGTACCAGTGGCCGGTCAGAGGCGCGTCGATGTGGAAGTCCTGCCCCATGAACTCAAACGGGCGCTCACCTTCGCCCTGCCGGACAACTCTCGCTTCTCCATGGTCGACTTCCCCTTGCACCTGCCATTAGAGCTGCTGGGCGTGGACTCCTGTCTTCAGGTCCTCAGCTGTATCATGCTAGAGCACAAGGTAAGGACCGGCACAGCGAGGGATCCACCCCGAAACACTGGATCTAAGCAGGAACCGATTCTAAATAAGGAGCATTGATAAGGTCCGGTTCTGCTATCGGTACTTTAGAGGTTACAAAGTGAGATCTCTAACGATACCTTGTGCTAGGCACAGCAGTGAGTCCAGGGTGCAGACGGTCTCTAATCAGTTGGGTCCGTCTCTTTGTCTTCATCTATATTTATTATTGCCAGGAGGAGATGTGTGGATGTGTGGTTGCCTTCTGCTGCTACCAAAACACCAGTGGGATTTTATTTAAGACTGACCTGATTGTTCCACGGAGAAAGGACAAGCAAAGCTATATTTAGCGTGTTGTGATTGGTCAGGGGCTTCTTCTGCTTCATGTCCACCTCCTGAGACCTCCTGAGAAATATCCTGAGTGACCGTCATCAGACATTTCACTGCAGGGCGGACAAGGCATGATGGGTAAAAAGACACTGCACGACAGAGAGGAAAGACTCTTGTTCCTCGTCTCTCCTATCTTTAATACCAGAAGCGTTAGCAGGGATGTAACAGAAGTCCCTGTTTGGCTGGTGCTCTGTTGTTGCTGTTGGTTTTACGGTGACATTGATACGCAGCCTCATTTGTAACTATTCCAAATCTAAACCTAAGCTTCAGTCACCGCTGGTTAAACCCTGGAGGATTTCTCTGCTCTTTTCTTTCTCCGTGTTTCTCAAATACAGAATATATCTGGGCCACCTGACCTAAATGGATGCTCCCTCACCCAAAATATATATATATTTTTATATTGTCCCAGGCGTCCTTGTGGAAATTGAGCATAACATTCAGATTGATTGAAAAGTCTTCCTGAATGGGGTCGACCACCGCGAATACGTTCTCTACCTGTATGAAACGCTGCCATCTTGTATTCATCCATTTAGGCTTCTTTTGAAGGTGAATTCAATGCATCATTAAATTCAGTCTGGCCGAACTAAAGTGCAGCCTGGAAGCTTTTAGAGCGACTTCTCTTTCAAGCACTTTGTGCTGCCAAATGAATTTTTCATAAAAGCTCAGTTTTCAATGTTTGCCGTTATGAAGCCAAGGCAAAATTGAGGTGTTCACACCTTTTTTAGCTTACAGATCAGAAGAGGAAATATGGATGTATCACCAGAGACTGAGACAACAAGGTATCAGTGTGTCTGTTTAAATAAGTGTTTCTCTTTCCTTCCTCAGGTCATTCTTCAGTCCAGAGACTACAATGCTTTGTCTATGAGCGTCATGGCCTTTGTTGCCATGATCTACCCTCTGGAATACATGTTTCCCGTCATCCCCTTACTTCCAACATGCATGGCCTCTGCCGAGCAGGTAAAACTTATATA